GAACCACCCAGGTGCCCCTCATTTAATTATTTTTGCCGCAGAGATAGACTTTATTTTCCTGAGTACTTTTTACTTTGTTGATGGTAATAGCCTTTGAAATGTTTCTTAGAAAAATCTGCTACTCTTGGGAATTGTTAGCATCGTGTATCTCTGGGGTTTTAGTTGGCTGTATTGTTTGGTGAAGGAGACCATGGTGAACCCCAAAGAGGATTCAGTACTAATGACAACAGTAAGAGCAACGGTGTTGACACTCTATCACTCTTTTCCTATTGGAGCTTCACAGCAACCTGATAAGTAGATATTGCCATTCCTGTTTTACAGAGAAGGAAACTAAGTCTCAAAGAGGTTAAGTAACTTTCCTGAAGTCCCCTAGGGAGAAGGTGGAGTAAAAAGTTCCTGGCATTAGATGATCAAATTGCTAGGAGAACCTGTAAATCCAACTTTTAGTTCCCACTGGGTTGTGGCATACTCTCTAGGTGATTTTTATTATTAGTTGTTAAATACAATTATGTCCTAGGATTAAGAAGAGAAAGTCTTTAAAAGGTGGTTTATCTTCCCATCTTTTCACAGTGATCAGTCATGTTATGGGGGGTGGGGCATGTGGAAAATGTTATTTGTTTTATGTACACATCTCAGTTGTGTCCTTCCGGTTCTCCTTGCATAAGGCCCTTGGTGACCAAGAATTGATTCTGGGGACTGTGTAATGGCATCACAAAGACTATTCTTGGCACCCTTTGTCTCAGTCTGCTTTAAGGGACAGATTGGGAAACTTGTTTCTTCCTCCTTTTTAAAAAGAGGAATGAAAAACACACTTGACTGGCACTTCCTCCTCAGCAACAGGCCTGTCTGACTTCAGTCTGATTTAGCTCCTTTTGTTCCTTATAGAGAACAAAGTAAAATCTCTTCTCAGGTAGCTGTGAGTCTAAGTCCCTTATCCTTTGAAAGAAACAGAGCAAATATTTTTCTTCAGACAGAGGAGAAACTGTGCGATTGTTTTAGGCCCTTTGACTTCCTGGCATCAGTCCAACTTTCTCATTTGAACTTTTAGTGTGTTTAGGTCCTTGGAAATTGATAGACAAGCTCTTTGGCAAGCCTGAGCTTCAGGTTTTTAGTTTTTTTGGATAACTGATACTTGTAGCAGCTCTTTCCTCTTCCAATTCCTTTAGGAACTTTTTCGGTTGTATCACAGTTTTCTGAATCTTACAATGTTTGTGACCTATATTTCCTTCCTCTTGAGTTACACAGGTCAGGTCATTTTTTTTTTTTTTTTGTATGAATTGGACTGCTGTTTTCCACCGCATGTTAAAAGATTATAAATGGTTTAAATGTAGTTCTGTGAAAGTACTTTTATGTCACACTCTTAAGACAAGTAGTGACCCTCAAAACTCATTTCTTCTGAACCTCTCTGTATTAGGTAAAAGAATTATGAGCTCAGAAAACAAATTAGACTCCATAAAGGCTTAAAGTGAACTAATGGGAACTGTGTTTCTAGCACCTTCCTGGTTAGTAATTATTCAGCTGTGTGGCAGTTTCACTTCCAGACTTTTGGTGCTAAACCATGAATTGTCAGGGTCACCAAGTAGATTATTTCCTCCCAGTTATTTTGTCCTTAGTTGCTTCAGAAGGTTGGCCTACAGCACGTTGACATTTTCAGTGTGTACATACTTATTCCGTGCCCTAATGAGGGATGAGAGCTCTACCATGAGGATACAGACTAGGCTTTGTTCCTTTGTCACTCCTTAGGGAACTTTGCTGTATGTGTCTAGGAACTTGGAGTTGTGTCTTTCTGTAAAATCTTTCTGACTTTCTACATTTTAATATGACAGGGAGAAAACTCCTTTCAGCACAGGCTATAAATATTTTTCCTTCTGTCTGTATTTGGATACATCTAGTTGTGTACTTTTCAGATTGCAGCCACTGTGAAATGTAAAGAGCCCATGGTTTCACTTTTTACGGTATTTATTACTTTTTAAATTTAAAAAGTGAAAAGAACACTGCCTTTTCTAATTATTAAATCACTTATAGTCCTACCAGCTAAAGACAACCATGGTTAGTATTTATATTTCTTTTGTATCATTATTTTCCAAGATATACATTATATATATACATACATATATATTTTTTTTACAAAATTGGGATCACACTGTGTATGTAATTTTGTATTCTGCTTTTTTCACTTAACAGGTATTTTTTTCACATCACTAAATGTTTTTAAAATAAACTTCAAATAGGTAATACATTTCAAAAAAAAATGACACAAAATGAAAATATTTGAGAAGTCTTGCTTCCATCTTTGTCTCCGTTTGTCTTGTCCCTTCAGTCCCTAATGAGTGACCATTTAATTTCTTCTCTTACTCAAAAGGTAGCATTACTATCCGTAGTGCTCTGTTCTTTGCTTTTCCCCTCTCTTCACAATATTTTATCTTGGAGACCTCTTGTTGTCAGTACCCAGAGAATCTTCCTTACCATAGATTAGTCATCTGGTGCCCTTTTTACATAGACACTTGGGTTGTCCTGAGTTTGTACTATTACAAACAATAAGACAAAAGTAGTAATTAAAGGGAGAAAAAACCCACTTACTCTGCTTCAGTTTTTAAGGCAAAGTTCTTTCCGAAGGAATGCCAGCTAATAAATGTAGAAGTAATGATGGAATTGGAAAAATCAACATTTTTTCAGCCCCTAAATGAAATAATTCAAGAAGGAATCATCAGTGACTGCTAAACTATTAAGCAAAAAGTTGAGAAGGAGCAGGATATTCACTTGATGCCAAATATTAGCCACAGATTGCTAATTGTAAAGGGGGGATTATACCTTTATAGAGAGCTCTTTCAATTACAAACTCAACCAAGTAGTCATATTTTGCCAAATGATCACATAATTTACCATGTAAGTGGGACAGCCTGACAATATGTGCCACCTGCTGTGCTGCATCGTGAGGTACATACATAGCATCACCTGTGAGACATTCTTGCCAGAAACTACTCAACCTAAATCTAATCAGTGTTTTAGACCTAACCTTCTGTTTATAGGAAATGTAAGGGATAGAGAGGTAAGCTAAATGACACTGTGAAGAGACAAACAGACAAAACTAAGGTGTAAGACATTGTCCAAGTCACGTGTCCTGGGCTTTAAAAAAGCTTGTGTTGGGGGCGTGTGGGTGACTCTTGATTTCGGCTCAGGTCATGATCTCAGGGTCATGAGATCAAGCCTTGCGCATTGGGCTCTGAGATGAGGGTGGAGCCCACTTAAGATGCTCTCTCTCTTGGGGCGCCTGGGTAGCTCAGTCATTGGGCTTCTGCCTTCAGCAGAAGGTCATGATCCCTCGGTCCTGGGACCGAACCCCTCATTGGGCTCCCTGCTCAGTGGGGAGCCTGTTTCTCTCTTTGCCTGCTGCTCTACCTGCTTGTGCTCTCTGTCAAATAAATAAATGTAATCTTAAAAAAAAAAGATTCTCTCTCTCCCCCTTCTGCTCCCCCTCTAAAAAAAAAAATAGGCTTATGTCGTAAATAAGTGAATATAAAACCAACCAAAGCAAAACTTGGAGGCCATTCTAGGGTAAAAGAGACTAAAGAGACATGACATCCAAATTCATTGCTTGAGTTTTGGTTGGATTCTTGTTTTGTTTTGTAAGCCAACTATTAAAGACATTTTTTAGACAGTTGGGGACATTTGAATGAGGACTGAATATTAGATGATAATCAGTGTACTTACTGGTATTGTGGTAATGAAGTCAAACGTCCTTATTCCTAGCAGATGCACAATGAGGGATATAGGGTTAAAGCATCTTGAAACCTGATGAAATGGTTCAGAAAAAAGTAAAAAAACAACACAAATGTAGTGTGTTCATAGAGCCAGATAAAGCAAATGTGACAAAATATTAACAATTCTTGAGTCTAAGTCATGAATAGTGTGTTTATTGTACCGTTTTTTCAACTTTTCTGCACATTTGAAATTTTTCATAACAGTTGAAACAGTGCTATAGTGAATAACATTTTACATGTATTTTTCTGAAATGCCATTTTATTGGGTTGCATATTCCATTGTATAGAGGAACCACAATTCGTTAATTGTTGCATGTGTGTATATTTTGCTGCTGGTTGACATTTTAGTTGAATTTTTATTTTGTGATAGTTTTATGCCCTTATGGCTTGTGGTGGATGAGAAAAAGGAATTAAATTTTTTTCTTCTCTTTCATCCTCTCTCTCTCTCTCTGCTAGTCTGGAACTTTAGTGGAGAAGAGAAAAAGAGAGTGAGAAAGCTACCCCCAAAGTAGTCCTTATGTACATGCTTTTAGGTAGGAGATAGAGTTGAAGCTATTGCATAAGAACCAGACTTTGGGGCGCCTGGGTGGCTCAGTAGGTTAAGCATCGACTCTTGGTTTCGGCGCAGGTCATGATCTCAGGGTTGTGAGTTCGAGCCCCGTGTTGGGCTCCGTGCTAGGCATGCAGTCTGTTTAAGATTCTCTCTCTCTCCGCCCTAAAAAAAAAAAGAGAGAGCTAGAACTCAAATAATAACCTTTTAAAATTGGTTACCTGTTCTTTGGCTTGGAGGCTGCCAAGTGATAAGGAGGGGGGCTGGTGGCTAGGGAGGCAGTGTGGTGCAGAAGGGAGGGCAGGTGCTGTGTTGTGTTTTGTTTTTGACAGGTTTTTAGAATTTTATTAGTAACAAAAGTTCTTCCTGCCTGATAAAATAATAAGAGTAACTGCTTTAGAGAATGATCTATTCTTTAGATATAAGGCTGAGCTACTGAGGATATGAGAAGAATTTAATGATGAAATATTTTTGTTACCGTATATGTTAACTAACTAGAACTTAAAAAAAAAACTTGGAAAAAAACATGAAATATTTTTGGAAGAAAAGTTTTGGGAGGAGGGTCCTTCTGAGAGCATGTCATTAAATATGAAAAAATACTTAGCTATTTGAGCTAGAATCGTATTTGCAGTGGCAAGCTTCTCTGATTGCGGAACAGATGTTCTTTGACTTTAATGTCCATCTTTTAGATTTCCATGAAGACAACTTACAAGGACCTGAATGGCTTCATTTTAGCTGCTTCAGCTTGTGGAGCTATTGCTCGCTCCTTCTCTTCCTGTGCCTGGTGTGACAGTGGCTGCTGAGCGCCATGAAGGTGGTTCCAGAGAAGAATGCTGTCCGGATACTCTGGGGGCGAGAACGGGGCACTCGGGCCTTTGGAGCACAACGGCTTCTGCAGGAGCTAGTGGAAGATAAAACTCGGTGGATGAAATGGGAGGGCAAGGTAGGAAAAACAGATATTTTTGACATTGGATTTGTAGGGGTGACCATAGAATGGGGTTTTAGAATGGGCTAATGATGTACAGTGGGGTATAATTTATTTTGTGTGAGGGAATTGATATATCTAACTTAACGGAGTTTTAAAAATAAATTTGGAAGAATTTATGGGCTAGAAATATCTTTTTCCCTTTAGAGCTAGACATTTTTCTTAAAGGTATTTTGGATTTCTTTCTCTCAACTTGTGGCTTGATCATTGTCTCCAGTTTTTTAGCTTATACTGAATACTAATCTACAGTGGCTTGTGTGCTTTTGAGATAGAGTGAGCCATAGTTTATAAATAATGTATCTTAACTTTTTTTGGTTTGTTTTTCAGAGAGTAGAACTGCCGGATAGTCCACGCTCTACCTTCTTACTGGCCTTCAGCCCAGACAGGTACCTGGTGCTTATCTATAACTTAAGACTTGGTACAGCTTTGCTTTCTGTATATTGGCCCGAGCTTGGTAACATCCCTAAGGGTTCTTTGAAGCTTTGCATGAACAGAGCTTTGCCAGAAGGGGAAAGAAAGTAGATGAGCAGTGCTAACCATAGAAATAATGGGGATAAGCAAAGGAAACAATGGACCTTGAGCATCCAAACTTGGGAAGTTTCTCAATTACTATCCTTTGCCGGTGTGATATAGGCCACTGATGGCATGATTATTTTTCCAGCTGGGAGAAAATAGTCTCTGAAGGGGATCTGTGTCATTTGGGGACAGTGTAGAGAAGCCAAAGCTTTTAAAGATCAGAATACTTCTGTTGTTTGTGATGCCTAAGGTGTAGTTTTTCAACACTGGGGTGGGGAATATTCGAAAGCTGATTATCCAGAACTGATAAAGTTTGTTACCCTCCTCTATGCTTCACATTCATTTCCTACTCTTTGCTTCCCTAGGACTCTGTTGGCCTCCACCCACGTGAACCATAATATCTATATTACGGAGGTGAAGACTGGCAAGTGTGTTCATTCTTTGATTGGACACCGCCGTACTCCGTGGTGTGTCACTTTTCATCCCACCATCTCAGGCCTTATTGCTTCTGGCTGCCTAGATGGGGAGGTCAGGATTTGGGATTTGCATGTAAGTATTTCCATTTCTTTGGTATTCTAAATGCAGAGAGTTGTTTACCATTGAGTTCTTAACTGGAGGAGAGACTAGCCAGGTTCTTAGGACTATCTCTGAGTAAGTGGTAGTCGTTGCCCACTTAAATAAGGGGAAGTCTAGTCCCTATTCCTCCATTCTAAGATGAACACCCTATTTAACTATTCTTCCATCTGCCCATTGTGACATAGTATAGGAGGTTCTAAAATATGTTCAGGATAGATGCTTTTTTTTTAGAGCAAGGATTGTACTGTATTCTGATCATGATTGCCAAAGCAGTATGCTTCTTGTCCTGATGACTTGCTAGTGGGTTGTTGTGCACCATGTCATGCACCAAGCATGCGTTTTCACAGGCTTCAGAAGCAGGAACTATGTGGATGCTCATTGCTTTGGATTGTAGATGCCTTGGCAAACTGAGCTGACAGTAATAATTTTCTGATAAATTGGTGACACTGCCAGATCACTGATTTTCTACATTTTACAGTGGACATATTTAAAGTAGGCCCTATAAGTAGTCATTTTACCTTAAATGGTCCTTTCTTGAAATTGACATCCCAGTCTGCTGCCAGTTTGTAACCTGAGAATATTTGGGATTGGTTCATTTATAGGGTGGCAGTGAAAGCTGGTTCACAGACAGCAACAATGCCATTGCTTCTCTGGCTTTCCACCCTACGGCTCAGCTCCTGTTGATTGCCACTGCCAACGAGATCCACTTCTGGGATTGGAGTCGGCGGGAGCCCTTTGCTGTGGTGAAGACAGCTAGCGAGATGGAACGGGTCCGGTGAGTGCTCTGCCCACCAGCAATGTCTGGCATAGGACTAACATGGCAGAGAACATTTACGCTTGCTGTCACCTCAGGAAGCAGTTTGCTGTACCTGCTCAGAGCAGGTGGTTATCTGTACAGCTCTTCTGACTTTTTTTTTTTTTAAGATTTTATTGATTTATTTGAGAGAGAGACAGAGATAGTGAGAAGAGAGCATGAGTGGGGAGGAGTGGGAGAAGCAGGCTCCTGCTGAGCAGGGAGCCCCGTGCGGGGCTCAATCCCAGGACCCTGGGATCATGACCTATGCCGAAGGCAAATGCCCAACTGACTGAGCCACCCGGGTGCCCCACTCTGACTTTTTAAGCTGCTGGCCAATCAGTAGTTCATTTTAGCTGTTTCTTTTTTTTTTTAAAGATTTATTTATTTATTTTGAGAGAGTGAGAATGAGAGAAAGAGAGAGAGTACATGAGAGGTGGGAGGGTTAGAGGGAGAAGCAGGCTCCTTGCTGAGCAGGGAGCCCGATGCAGACTCGATCCCGGGACTCTAGGATCATGCCCTGAGCCGAAAGCAGTCGCTTAACCGACTGAGCCACCCAGGCGCCCTCATTTTAGCTGTTTCTGATTGGGTCTCATCTTCTGGTCTCTGTAGACCAGGGTTGTTAGAATGTCTTTTAGGTTCAAAACTATCTGGGTTTGGGGTAAGGCCCTTTTTTGGGAAACCTGTTCAGGTGGAGGTTAACTTGGTGGGAAGTTGCTAACATCAGTTATTTGTGTTTATCAAACTGGAAAATGGAGATGTCAGGCGTATCAAATCTGCTAATTGATATTTAGCCCTCGAGATCAAAACACACATTGCCTGAATTAAAGTTGATGCACTGGTTTTCTTTAGTCCTCTTGGTATTGAGGTTGGATATAAGAAAGTTTTCTAGTCTCAGCTATGTCACTTGATGCTGAGACTGTTCATTGTCACCAGAACTCCTGCTTCTTGCCAGTGTAGCTGCTTCATGAAGGAAGAACTAACTAACCCTGTGGCAGGGTATGGGAGTGTGCTATGCTTTACTGTTATGATAGGCTCTTTGCTATGAACAAGCGTGTGTTTGATGCAGCTGCTTCTTGGTACTGAAGCCTAGATGCTCTTTGAAATTATTTTTGTGATACATATTCCCTTATTCTGGCAAGTGTGAGGAGGTACCAAGAAGTATTGAGCCCTATTATTTTGATGTCTTCGAAAGTTTTGAAAGTTTCTAGCATGAAGTGGATACCTGGGTAATCCCACAGTTATCAGTAGTGATTGCTATACATTTGAACACAGGCTTCCTCTTCTCAGTTAACATCTCTGTGTGTCTGTCTTTCTCTTTTGTGTTTTCAGTCTGGTGAGATTTGATCCTCTTGGACACTACTTACTCACAGCCATTGTTAACCCCTCTAATCAGCAGGTAAGTTAGTCAGCAGTTCCAACTCCATCTAAACTGGGAGTGGTTTTCTAAACTAGCATTCCAATTCTGATTATTTTGGACTTGTAATTTGTAATGCCCAAGTGTTTCTTTTTCAGTCGAGATTGAAAACTAGCTTTGGACTGCATATTTAAAGTGCTAGCCATAGTCTTGACGGGGGAGTCCATTCTGAAACCCCCAAGTGATCACTTTATTCGAAGTAACCAGGCTATGTTGGATAGCTTGTCATTTTTGTGCCTCTGGTGGTTGACATTTTTGCTTCCCTCACTGCCTCCGTGTCAGAGAGATGCACTTTGTAAAAGAATTGGCTTGTCCCCTGTACCCATTCAGAAATGTCACTAATTGGAAGTGAATAATTTAATTCCATAGGATGATCCTGAAGTTGAAGCCAGTTAGTCCTCAGTGCTTCAGGGTAGGGTTGTTGTCTCTCAATGAAGATTGTTTTCCTTGGCTGGTTGTCAGTAGTTAGTTTTCCTTGATTTACCTGGAGGTTCTACCTAACTGACTCACTCTCCCCCTGCCCCACCTCGCTCCACATTGCAGGGCGATGATGAACCAGAGATCCCAATAGACGGAACAGAGTTATCCCACTACCGTCAGCGTGCCCTGCTGCAATCACAGCCAGTTCGCCGGACGCCTCTCCTCCACAATTTCCTGCACATGCTGTCCTCCCGCTCCTCTGGCATCCAGGTGGGAGAGCAAAGCACAGTGCAAGATTCTGCTACCCCCTCACCCCCACCGCCTCCCCCTCAGCCCTCCACGGAGCGCCCCAGGACTTCCGCTTACATCCGGCTCCGACAGCGGGTCAGTTACCCCACAGCTGAGTGCTGCCAGCACCTTGGGATCCTGTGCCTTTGCAGCCGCTGCTCTGGCACTCGAGTTCCTTCCCTCTTGCCACACCAGGACAGTGTCCCCCCTGCTTCTGCCAGGGCTACTACCCCTTCCTTTTCTTTTGTACAGACCGAGCCCTTCCATCCCCCGGAGCAGGCCTCGTCAGCGCAGCAGGACCAGGGCCTCCTGAACCGGCCATCTGCCTTCAGTACGGTCCAGAGTAGCACTGCCGGCAACACGCTCCGCAACCTCAGTCTGGGTCCCACCCGGCGCTCTTTGGGAGGCCCTTTGTCCAGCCACCCTTCTAGGTATCACCGAGAGATAGCTCCTGGGCTAACAGGGTCCGAGTGGACCCGGACAGTGCTCAGTCTGAACTCCCGCTCTGAGGCAGAATCCATGCCTCCGCCCAGGACCAGTGCCTCTTCGGTGAGTTTGCTGTCTGTGCTGAGACAGCAGGAAGGTGGCTCTCAAGCGTCTGTGTACACTTCAGCCACAGAAGGGAGGGGTTTTCCAGCTTCAGGGTTGGCCGCTGAGTCAGATGGAGGAAGTGGCTCCAGCCAAAACAACTCAGGCAGCATTCGCCATGAGCTTCAGTGTGACCTGAGACGCTTCTTTCTGGAATATGACCGGCTTCAGGAGCTGGACCACAGCCTGAGTGGAGAAGCCCCGCAGACCCAACAGGCCCAGGAAATGCTCAATAACAACATTGAGTCCGAGAGGCCAGGCCCCTCCCACCAGCCCACCCCACACAGTAGTGAGAACAACTCCAACCTGTCCCGTGGCCACCTGAACCGCTGTCGCGCTTGCCACAACCTCCTGACCTTCAACAACGACACCCTGCGCTGGGAAAGAACCACACCCAACTACTCCTCTAGCGAGGCCAGCTCCTCCTGGCAGGTCCCCAGCACCTTCGAGGGCATGCCATCGAGTGGCAGCCAGCTGCCACCCCTTGAGCGGACTGAGGGCCAAACGCCCAGCTCCAGCAGGCTGGAGTTGAGCAGCTCTGCTAGTCCGCAGGAGGAGAGGACTGTGGGGGTGGCCTTCAACCAGGAGACGGGCCACTGGGAAAGAATTTACACCCAGTCTAGCAGATCTGGAACTGTATCACAGGAAGCCTTACATCAGGATATGCCTGAGGAGAGCTCTGAGGAAGATTCACTCAGGAGGTAAGCAGGTGCTTTCTTGTCTTCTCCTACATCCCTTACTTTTCTCCTTACGTCTCTTCCTTCAGTCCTGTAGATGTTGTGGCTGGATCTGGAGTGTCTGGGACCCATGCATCTGGTTCTGGTTTCCCTGATGTCCATTGCATCTTCTTGGAAAATCTTGCTCTGGTAGTAGAGATAGGATGGGGCCTAACAGTATAAGTCACTTGATTCTGCTAGCTCCTTTTCTGGCTAAGCTCGTGAGACCTTTAGCCTTAAAGGAGAATGTAGATCAGGTTAGAGGCACAAGAGGAGTTAGAGCCATTGACTTCCTCTGCCCTGCTTTTTGACCTTCTTGGAGGATTGTATGTGCAACGCTAGTTACTGTGAAAAAAGAAAATGTCCCAGAGCGCTTAGGAATAAGTAGTAAAAGAGAATCCTGCTTGGTACAGATTAGTGTATTGGCTCTTTCTCAGTCGTGTCTCATTGGACAGCTGTGTTCACCTTTTAAATCCTATCTTTTGGAACATTGCAACTTGACAAAAGGGAAAAGAAAATAATACGTACATATACGTACATACATATATTTATATATATAAAAAATATTTTTTATATTATTTTTTAGATAGCAGATTAGTTGCTTAGTTAAGATTCTTTGAGGAGATCTTCCAGATGGACATTCACCTCAAGGTGGGGAAGAATAATAATTCATAGAAGGAAGGCCTCTCCATACTCATATCAGCATCCCAGGCAGCTCCTCCATGGAAGAAACAGAGTGGGTGTAGCTGACCGCCCACCACATGTTCCATGTATGGCTATGTGTGCATCTATCTTGATTTATTAGGGACTTCTTTCTGTAATTCTGTAAAGGTCACATCTAGCGTAATCACCAACTCCCAGAATATGCCTGTTGGATCCAAACAGCATATTGCTCTGCATTACATCCTCTGTTGAAGCAACTGAAATTTCTGACATAAGCTTCTAACAAGGGTGGGAATATGGATTGTGCACATAATGTACTTTTTATTTTGGGAGAATGCTTTAGAGAGAGTTACCCAGTTAATAAGTATTTGTTGAATGGTTACAATTTTTCCAGCGCTGTGCTAGGCACTGTAGGGAATACAAAAGAAGTATAATACCTGGTCTTTACCAGCTGGGAGTGTTATTGTAGAGGCAGGACTTATTTACATGCAATTATATAAAAAATGTAGATGACCCAAATGCTTCATTGTGTGGTACTGAGATTAAATGCAGTCTCATTTCAGAGAAAGGGAAGTACCATCAGAGAAGGCTGCACAAAATCAAGTCTTGAAAGATGGGCAGGATTTGGAAAGGGAAAGACCTTTTTATTTTAGGGGACCAGCACATTCTAAGACAGGAAAGAACACGTTCAGTGCAACATGGTGGTTACTAGGGGCTGTTGCTAAGGGTAAGATAGGACACTTGGTTGGATATGAAAGATAGACAAAATAATAGAGGTTGTTACTCTGCTCATATAATTGAGACCAATTCTGGATTAACATCTCCTAAATTCCCAGCTTTGGAATATTTTGCCTTGTATAATGACCCATATTAGGAACCTGAGACTGTTACTCCTCTTTGTCAAGAGAGGTGGGAAGGTAGCAAGCACAGCGCCTGACATAGAGTAGGCATGCAAGAGGTTTATGAAAGGTAGTTGTAAAAGAACGGTCTTCAGTTCCTGCTCTAAAAGCCTCCCAGGACCTGTTTCCATAGTACCAGTGGGCTTCTGGTCAGTTAGCCTTTGTGCATTCTGTTGTAGCGGTACCTCTTCTGGTGTTGTTCTGAGAAATACCTGAGTGGTTTAAAGTAAACTCTATTTGATAATAATAAGAGATACCAATTACTGAGGGCCTACTATGTGTTAGGTACTGTACCTTTGTATTAATTATTTCTAATTTCCACCATAACTTTGCAAGGCAGGTATTAAATGTCTCATCTTACATTTGAGGAAAGTGAGGCTCAGAGAAGTCAAGTTTCTTGTTAAAGATCCCTAAGTAGGTTGCTGAGTGGGGATTTGAATTCTAGTTTGTATGACTACATTATTTTTCTAAGCTGCCAACCATGGTATATTCCTTAGTGATACCTCATTTTTAGGTGAACCATTTTTATTTATTTTTAGTTTCTTTTAGTTTTTTTATTATGATAATCTTCAAACATGTAAAAATAAAGAGTAAAGTATAAGTGAATTTTCATATACCTGTCATCTGACTTTAAAAATTATTAACACTTGTCCAGCTTTCATTCATCTGTATCCCCTCTTGACTCCCTCGACCCCGACATCATATAATTTCATCCGAAAATACTCTAATCTGTGTCTCTAGAGCAATGCTGTCCAATAAAACTTTCTACAGTGATGCAAGTGTTGTGTATCTGTGCTGTCCAGTATGGTAGGCATTAGCCACATGTGGCTATTAAGCATTCGAAATGTGGCTAGTGTGAGCTGAGGAGCTACATGTACATTTAAAAATTTTAACTAAATGTAAATAGCCACGTGTGATTAAAGTATTAATCACTTCTTAATAAAAGTAGACTGTTTAAAACCCAGAAACTATGTTTGTGTTTTAAATAAAAAAGTTCAAATGCTTAAAAATGTAGGTTGTAGTAAATGAAAGCCCTTGCCATCTTGCTGTAAACGATTGTATATATATTTTTTCTTTTAAAAATATACAAATAATACACGGTTTCATTGTAAAATAGAGTAGTTACATGATTTATGGAGTCACGAGCTAGGATGAGATGTACTGTGGGGGCTGACAGCCTCCTCAAAAGTGAGGTACATTGTAAAATATTCCAAGTGCATGGCCTTTATAGAAGGGCCATCACTTCCTCATAATTTGAGCGGCTGCATTTTAATACATTCTAATACATACAGGTGTTACTCAGTATCTTCTGCCACCTTCTGCCACCTTCAAAAAAGAGACCTGATGTTCTCTAGCTGACGAGCTGGCCCTTGCTTGGATTTCCCCAGCAGGTGTCACTGTTGGGCTGTTGCTGCCACTAGACTAGGATGGCCAGCAGGAAAGGAAGGTGTCCTTAGTCTACTTGAAGGGGGAAGGTTTATTCTTTGGCCTTGTAGTAGGAGATAGACAAAAGAAGCATATTGTGATCTTGAGTGATGCTGATTTAATTAATAATGTTTGCACGTAGAATATTGAGCACAAATAGAATACTGAGCACAAGTGTGTATTAAGCACAAGTGTGTATAGCTCTGTTGCTGAGCTGTGGTAACCAGTTCAGTTTGTCTCCTTTTGCCTGTGGGCAGTAGAGAGCAAGCTGCCTGTGTAGTCTTAACTCCAGCTTACAACTTACAGCTTGGGTGGCAGGCCTTTTCCTCCCCATCAGGAACTTTTTTTTTTAAGATTTTATTTATTTATTTGACAGAGAGACACAGCGAGAGAGGGAACACAAGCAGGGGGAGTGGGAGAGGGAGAAGCAGGCTTCCCGCAGAGCAGGGAGCCCTATGTGGGGCTGGATCCCAAGACTCCAGGATCGTGACCCGAGCTAAAGGCAGACACTTAACCAACTGAGCCACCCAGGCGCCCCCAGAAACTTCTTTTTGGGTCTAATAGCCCAGGATCTAGCAGAAGATCAAGGTATTATGGCTCCCTGCAGCTTGCAGCAGGAGTCCCTGTGGCTTCGAAAGGCTGGTATTAGGAAAAAGAGAAAATTATTTAAATGGCATCTTAAAACGGGAAAAAACCTAGAATGTGTTTAGTCCAGCCTCTTTTTTTTTTTTAAATAGATGAAAAAACTTAGATGGGCAGAAATGACTTTTTAAGAGGTGCTTATAACAACGGTGGGATTCAAACCCTTAGGTCCTAAAGAGGGCACTCTTTCCTCCTCTTCATTTGTAATTAGTGCTTTCACGTATTCAGTTTTTCTGTCGGAACCTCTGTTGCTCCTATAGATCATGGTGGGGTGGGGGGAGTGGGCTCTTCAGTCAACTCTCTTGTAAGATACTGGAGGTCTAATCATTTGTAATTAACTGTCTCTCTGTAGAAATATAACTAATACAATGTTGTAGGGATACAGGAAAAACACTGTTTTAGGTAATAGCCCATAGAACTGCACTGATGAGTTTTTTTGAAGTGATCCCAGTTTGGGAAGTTCACTATTAAAATCCCAGCAAATGGGAAATCAAAATCTGGGCCAAATCTTCCTCAACTAAATTATGTCTGCATTCCTGTTCCAGGAAGGTGACAAGGCCTTTTGTCTGAAGTTTTTAGTAAGATTGAGTGTGTTCTGAGAACTGATGTCTTTTGATCTTCACTTTTCCCTTATGATAAAAGACGATTGGGGAAATTTGGCCCAGAACATTGAAGCTTAGAGTTGGAACCCCGCATTTGATTTCTCAGTTTTTTTAGACTTTGTGAGGGAATTGCTTTGGAGTTAGAGCAGTCTGAAGCCTCTTGAGGCTTTGTGGGCCAACTAACTTGTTTGATGCCTCAGCACTAATCACATGGGGATTTTCCAGAGAGCACTCAGCAGAAACATCACTGATAGAAGAAGATAAATGGATATATCTGCAGGTCTCGTCATAGGTCCACAAGAGGGAGAAGGTGACCTAGAAATTAGGAAAGCACCAGTCTTTTCAGCTTGATCATAATAAAGACAGGGGTTCATCTTTAGTAGCTTTGCTGTGCCACTGACCTTACTGGATCTAAAGAGTTTATATATATAAAATCACTTTTGATTTCTTTGGATGGGAGTATCCTCAATTTATTATTCAAAACCTAAAACAGCTGTCCCCTTTTCCTTTGAGAAAACTTCACTGAATGTCCCAAATAATCACTTTCTCTTTGTTGCTTGTACTATATAGATATTTACTTGTAATGTTGACCCAAGACCCATTATTATGTCATATCCTTTAGTCTTCTAAGGAGTCATTGCCTTAATAATTTCTTGTTGAATAAATGAAGTGGCATTATCTAGAGTTGTACATGGAAGACAGCTTCTATAACTTGAGCTCAGGTGACCTAGAACTTGTTCCTCTGATGTTCCAC